TGTTTCCAGCCCTTCTTCCTGCTTCACAACTTTCAAGAATTCTACCTGAGTCCTGCATTCTGAAGAGATCCTGGATACGCTCAGCACACCTCACACACAAAAGGGGCATTGCTGTAAACAGCACTTGGCACTCTTGGAAATGCCTTGGTTCTTTTCTAGTAGGTAGGTAGGCAGGTAGATAGATAGACAGACAGACAGACAGACAGAGAGACTCCATAGTTTGGAGCCTACCTTGAATCATCAAGGTGGAAGACTTAAGGTACTTGGTTTACATTTACTCCAGGCTCGTTTTCCAATAGAAAACTAAATATCACTCTTAAGAGCTGTGAAGCACCGTAAACTCTCGGTCATCTAGAAATTTTGCTACCGACCTATCTACCTGCTGGGTTGTGAAATGCTGAGCCTTTTACCATTGTAGTTGTACCAAAAGCAGGCCCTGGCATACACTGGGTGTTCAGTAGCATTTTCTGAATATAAGCGAATGCATAGTAAGGAACCAAATGGCCACCTTATTCATCTCAGAGTCCTGTCACACACAGAAGCAGAGAAGGAACCTTCGAAGAGAGAAAGAAGCAGCACAGAGTGCAAAGTGAACTCACTTCTTTCTTCTAAGTTCTTTCCCTCATTTCTCCTATTTAATGATCTGGAAGTGCAGCAATCATGAATCTAGGGAGCTTCTAATCCTAACCCAATTTAAAAAAAAAAAATTGTTTTAAAAAGAAAAGATCAGTCTTATCTCATGAGATCAGGAAACAATCATTTTTAGATTACTGGTATCTGTTCTCTTTCTTACTGGGAGCAAATGTGTGTGCAAACATGGGTTAGGGTTAAGGTTAGGGTCCTTTAGGTGAACGAGAGCTACGGACACTGAGGAGGGAGCTAAAGTCCTTCACCATGCTGATGACTGGTGCTGCAATAAGGCCAGGGAACAGTCTTACCTGAGAGAAAGAGAGCATCATACAGGGCCCAGCAGCACCATCAGACAGAAGCAAAAATAAAGTTCTCACCTGACCTGACGTGGTTTCTCTGAGAAAACACTAGGAAGTCTTAAAGGGGAAGCAGGCATGTGCAAGGAAAAGGAGACTGTGATGGGGGAGCTTTAGAGTGACTCTGTGGCTAAGGCTCTAAGCTCAAAGGGCCAAGAAGGTGGAGGAGCTGCTGCACCGAGCCGCAGCTACAGGGGTTAGACTGCCAGCTGTTGTGCTGAGCACATGACAGACTGAGATTATTCTGTGCGGAGAAATAAGAAGCCCCTACTGGGTTTAATTTCCACTTCCACCTAGGAGTGTCACATTATTTGGAGACTGGATGGGGACAGGGCAATAAAATGTGGGAGGTGTAGGAGATCGATCCATGGTCTTGGTGAGGAAGGAAGTTTCCCCACTGAAGAATGGAAGAGTGGCTCCATGAAAAGAAGTGAAGAAAAGAGGCAGCTAAGCACGAAAGAATCCAGACGACCAAGTAACTGGTCCAACATCACAGGTGAGGACAATGGTGCCCAGCACAGTCCATGGGCTTCCTGCACACCACAAGGCTGCAGGGCCATTTATAGATATGCCAGGACATTACATGAAGGATGTGCTAAGCACTAAATGAAGCCTTGTGCATGGCAGGGGCTAGGGGAGTGGGGTCTAAGTTTCAAACTTGTTTTACAACTTGCCACACGGTGGGATAAGGGGGCACATTCTCCAAATCTCTTTTCACTAGACTAACATTCTCATAGAACAGTACAAGCACCATCACACTGGTCCTGGAGCAGTAAATGAGAACTCAGAAGTGGAAGCACAATGTAAAAGCTGTGTATGTGACCCAGCAGTGCACAGCCTTGAGGAAAGAAGGGACGTTTAGGCAACCTTTGTGGGGCAGAGTGATAACACTGTACCTTCTCATGTACAATCACCAATTCTGGGCAGACTGGTAAATCAAGTACATGGAGTCTTGAGAAGAAAATGCAAGTGAATACTTACTCTGCAGTTTGAAGTATTTACTAACCAAGACCCAACAGACACAAACAAGGAGGCAAAGGCAAAATAGAATGTACCCAGCTCACAGCAAGAGCAATAGGAACATGGAACCTCAACGAGCTGGGAAGAAGGTTTCCACCTAGAACTAACAAAGGAGGGCCCCTGAACAAGCCTACAAGTGGGGAAGACAGGGACAAGCTCAGTCCCACCACTGTGATACTTGTGTCACCTTGCAAGGGGGTAAGCCCAGCACACAAGGGAGAGCCAGTCTCTGGTAATACGCTGCTGGGAGATGTGCAGGAGAGGGACCGAGGGACCTACCCAGGCCAGTCAGGGGAGGGTACAGGAGGGAAGTGCAGGCTCTTTGGAGGAAAATATGTTAGCATCCATAAAATACTGTTTGACTTGGCAAGTACTTCTAGGAATTAAGAGAGAAACTCTATTAAAGGTTAAAAAAAAAATAAACGGCCAGTCAAGGACACTCCCTTGTATACTGGCCCTAGGAGAAAAATTCGAGCAATTTCAAATGTCCCACAATGGGAGTTAAGTGTAAATCAATTGCACCCAAACAGTGGAATCTGAGGCTGACCTAGGCGCTGATAAGGAATTAACAGACAAGCTGCTATGTGACAAAAGTCAAGATAGTGAACAGAACATTAAAGACGAGCAGGCTAAAAGGAAGAGGCTGGAAACCACTTAGGCCTAGGCACACAGGTTATTTCTGCAGCTGCAGAAGCAGCCAACTAAAGCTACTTTCTGGAAGGAGAGTCTGATATTAAAGGACAGCTAGCAGCCACCTCTCTGCACTGGCAATAAAAACATTTAATCTTCTCAAAAGTCTGCTGAGAAATTTTCACGCCTTCTAAAAAACTAAAACAAACAAACAAAGTTGAAAGAATAACCAAATGGTAGTATATTTATATGAATGAATACTACACTGAAGAGAACAGAGTAAGACTGAATGTCCTACTAACAGAACTCACTTAGGTTTCTTTCTATTGTAGTAACAGTTACTCTAGAAATTAACTGCGGTTCTGAATACCCAATTCTACAAATGCGCTAAGTTGTAATACATTGTACAGTGTGGGTTCATGAATGGCAGAGCCTGCCACACACACAAGTGCTCTCTCCTCTCCCTCTTTTCCTCCGTCTCTCTCTCCTAATGCAGTGTTAGGGCTTGAACCCCAGACTTCCCACATGTTAAGATACACACTCTACCACACAACCCCCTCCCCACCCCTGTAACTGATTATCCAAGGAGTAGAGGAGAGAGATGTTTAGGAACTGAGGCTCGTATGTCAAATGTGACTCATCAATGGATATTCCTTTTCTCCCTTCTCACTCACCGACTTACACAAAAAGTCCGAGAAGGCCGCAGCCACAGCCACAGCTGTGAAGTGTTTCCTATGACTGCTCACATATTAAAGCTGAGCGTTAAGACAAAAAAATGTGTCATAAAGATGAGTGAAAGACAACTGTGGTGGAACAGTAAGTCAGTGTGGTACATAGTTTAAACACTACACGAAGCACAATTTCTACAAGTGCGCTAGAAGTATCTAGAGGACCAAGCGCCCATGCTCACTCATGCCCAGGGTCGCGTCTGAATAGCGGCAGGCAAGAGCTGGGCAGGTCAAACAAGATTTGGTTTCTGTCTGTAATATGTCTGAAAGATGTGCTTTGTTCGAAGGAGATACACGCATTAACTGACTATCTGAACTTATTTTTTAAGTGAAGATGACAGAACTAGAAAGTTAACAGGACTTGGTGAAATAAGCAAACACTAGTTCTGCTCTTAGCTTAATTTTACCAGGAATGGGCATGGAATGTTCTGATCCTGTCCTTCCAGGCATTCTACTTACATCCCCTTCATTAACTTCAGAACTAAGATCTGTAACTTAAAAGGTGGAAATGGCTTGAAAGACAGACATGAGTGGGCACAGGCAGGTGAACTCCTGGATTCTGACCACAGCCAATGACATGGGGCATATAGTTCCCATTTCGGGCCACTGGGACACATGACCACTCCTAGGCTTGGATTTAGCCTTATCTTGGAGAGAGCCTATGCTCGTAGCCTTAGCATTCACACAGTCACATAATGGCCTGGTGAGACCTGGGGAACTTCTAACAGTTCTCCTCAGAAGGCAAGCAAGTCTGGCCAGTGTTTTATCAAAGTACACTCTTGGAATAAATCAATTAACTGCTGAGCAATCCAGACCCTAGGATGGTCCAGACAAGCTGTTTTACACTCTAATATATATACACAATATATACGTATATAAAATAAAAAAATATTATATACTTACACAATATATAATTTATTTATTTGTGAATTATACTAATATATTTATATAGTATGTTATACTATATAATTTTTAAGCATTTTATATATGTACATATAAATAATATGTAAACATAAATGACATGTATGAACAGACATACACATACACCGACCTCCTATCTTTAAGATATGAAGTTGAAATTCCCTGAAGAAAAGAGTCAATGGACAGTTTTCTGAAGCAGACATATAAAATGGCAAATGTAGTCACCAACCATGTCTGTCTACAGACTCAGACCTCAGGGAAGCAGCTTTCTAGCATACCTAGTTACCTTGTAAGTTCTGGAAAAGGCAGAAAGAAGAGAAACCATACAAGAGGAAAAGGAAGGCAAATCCACAGCCCCAGGGATGGGAGGGCTGAGATGTTAGGGGGGCCTATGCTAGGTTCCTCTGCTTGAACAATTTCCAAAAGGGGAAACCTGGGCAACTCCCCAGGGGCAGGCACCACAACCACTTCTGCCTCTAAAACCCAAGTGGCAACCAGCCCTAATACAGGCTCTGAGTTGAAGAGACCTGGGGTGGCCTGACTGCCTATAGAAAGTACATGTGTTGGGGGAAAGCCCACTCAACAGGATGGTCTGAAACAAAACTCAGTGTCTTGCTCACAAAAATCTTTGCAAAGAGGAGAAAGAAAGACACTGAATATCAGTGCAAGCAGATCATTTTAAGAATCACATGTAAAGGTATCCAGGAAAACTCACCTCCATGTTCTAGAAACACTCGAACACATCTCTCCTTTCCTCTTGCTGCAGAGAAATGGAGCAAGGTCCAGCCATTGGCATCTCGGCCATTTGGGGAATAGCCTTGTTCCAACATCTTTCGTACGGTGTGAACATCCCCGGCAGCCACTGCAGCCTGAATCTGCAATTCTTCCTGGAGCTCAGGGTTCCTCCGGCAGTGGTGGTGTAACATCCTAGCAGAGTCCGCTTTTTACCAACCAGACATTAGGTAACAGGAGCCAGCCTTTTGGGAAGATAGAACACACGCAATTTAGAACACGTGGCCCTGCACACTGTGCCCACTGACCAGCACAGAACTGTTTGTTTCCTAAATCAGTGCGACAGTACTGGCTAACATGCCTCGGCTAAGACCACAACTTTCAATAGTTGCATTCCCATTACAAATTAGTTGAAAGAGAAAGCCAGAAAGAAACCCCTGACTTAATAGAAAAATCTCTTCTGAGTCTTTTTGAAAACTTGAAACTACATTTGATCATATGGCTGTTTCAGGTAAAATGAGAGGTGGCAACAGGAAGCCAACAGGGCAGAAGCAGAGGGGCCAGACTAGTGCCAGTCTTGGGAAGTCTGATCTACATGATGCACTACTGAGATTTATGTCACAAACTACTCAAGGGTTCTCTCACAAGTCAGAGTCAATGAATATGGAGCACCAGAAAACAGCCTGTTACCCTATGAAGACTAGAGCCCACAGGAGGAACTGAGAAGGAAAGGCTGTCTCTAGGCGGAGTCTCTGAGGTCCTCTACATCAGCATCCCATTTTTAATGCAAGGTAACAAAGCTTGGTGGAAGCAGGCTGAGCGAAATAACTGGAGTAAAATAAATTCTATTTACTTTATAGTGTGTGCATGTGTGTGTGTTTATGCTTGTTTTTCTCAATTTCTCAGTTTTCCTACCTCAGGTTATTTGATCATGATATCTTATCCTCTCTTTTGCTGTCATTCTTTTTAAAAATTTCTCCCCTAATTTCATCACCAGAAGTTTTACCTCATAAATGCTCAAATAACAGGATCAAAATCCCACTGATTAACCACATGACAAAATGACTTCAATGAACAACAGTGATGAGGAGTACAAAGCGTCTGCAGGTCATAGAAAAGCATGTCCTCAAAACCCACAGAGACTGAGCTCATCCATGCACACAGGGAAGTCCACAATAAAATGGCTACTTCTCATGTGGTGGTACAAAACCTGTCTGTGTGCTTTGAAGCATTGAAATATATACAGAAACCTAGACTGTCAAGCTCCTAGGAAGACATCCAACAGGGATGAATTGAAAGAAGCAATTAGACTAATCTCCTGGTTTCTAACCTCCATTTCTGTAAGTAAATTTGCTCAAAAGAAAAAAAAAAGTGATGAAGCCCTTTGAAGATATTCTGTTCTCACATGTAGGTTAGGCATTTCAGGATAATTTTGCAACTAATACTTTTTCTTGCAAAACTTTCTCATCATGGAGTATACATAGGTAAAGTAATCTAAGCTTAGTGGAGCCAACATGGGTGAGGAATACAAACATCTGATGTGCTTTTACAGGTAAAAATGACATCACTACACTCTCAGCACTATCACTGTGATATAAATTTTAAAAGATCAAGCTAGTTGTTTCCTCAGAGAAAAATGGGAAATGAGAAATTTCTTGATAATTTGTTTTCTTAAAATAAGCAAGTTTCCTTTTGATTCGTTACTTAATTACTTTCTTGAAATTCAGTCTCTTGGCTTAGAAATTTAACATAAAAAATACCTTTCAGAATAGGTTTCATATTAGTTTCAGTGCTATAAGAGACTATATCAAAACTCATCAGATACCTTAATGGAAGCTCTTACTGTCCACTCGGACCATCATCTTTAACAAAATGCTTCTGAATTTTTTATTTCATCACTCTTTCTGAGACAGTCTTATTTAGCTCAGGCTAACCTCCCGACTTACTAGGCAGCCTTGACTGGCCCTGAGCTCTTGATCAACCTATCTTCCAGGTATCTCCCATCAGCCAAGTATTGAGACTACAGGTGTGTGTCGCCATATTGGCTCAGAGTGAGTTTTGTGGGCATATGTGTGTGGTATATGTGTATACAGATAACTTAGGGTGTCTTCTTCTACAGCTCTCACCTTATTTTTTGAGACAGGAGCCATCACTGAACCTTGACCTCACCATGTCTGTGAGACTAGCTGGCTATCAGGGCTCCATGACTCTCCTTGTTTCTGCACTGCGGGGCTGGAGTTACAGGCATACATAGCCACGTCCAGCTTTTACGTAAGTAAATGGGGATCCATACTTCAGTCTCCATACTTGTGCCCAAGCGCTTTACTAACTAAGACATTTCCCAACCCCAACAGCGTGTTTTTAAATAGGAGATTATCCTGGCACTTGAAAGAGGTCGACTATGTAGGAAAAAGACTGAAATAATGTCAAGATAAAATTAGTTTTTTCTTTCAGTGCCTGCTACACTACGGATATGATAGGTCTTTAACTCACTATTTTACCCATTCATTTCTGTTCAACGCTATTATAACAGTGCTAGGGACTGAACTCAGAGCCTTGAGCCTGCTAAACACATACTATATTACTAAGCCTACAGCCCCAACCAACTCATTAGCAGATTTTTAAGATGAAAAGAAAAAGTTAATTGGGATTTTCCTTGAAAGAGCATAGGAGACTGATGACGCTGAGTTATCTTACCTTCCAGAAGAATGTCTCTTCTCGGTAGACAGGTCATCTAATAACCATTGTGTATGTGCAGCATCGTGGGAAAGGGGCTCCCAGTGTGTACAGACCCGAGAGCAGTAGCCTTCTTCACCTACAAACAAATCCAATCACAGTCACAGGGAGCTTCCTAAGTGAACAAAGAGCCACAGCTGTCAGCAGTATACTTCCTGATGGCTCTAAATTTCAGGAGTTTACAACAATCGACAGAGGACTCAAGGTGGTTTTGGAGAAAATGATCTTGTTGCTCACAACCATCTCCAAGATGCAATCAAATATGACTTATTTTTGAGCTTTTGTGCCCTTCTTCCCCACACCCAGCTTCTTTCAAAAGAGTAAATAAAGAAAATAACAGATCACACATTTGGAATCTGGATACAAGCTGAGATCCTTGTTTCTTCTACTGGGAATATATCTTCAGGCCCACTTTCTTTGAATTGCTTTTTAAGAGCACCATCAGTCACCTGCTCTTTTTAAACAGGACTAAAAGGACAAAATATGTGCATTCAATACAGCAGCTTCCCAGGGCCAAATGTAAACTTTGAGAAGTAGAAGATGAATCTATTCAATGGCAGTTTCTCATGTGCCTTAAAGGCACGCCGTCAATAACGTTTACATACACACAACAAACTAGTCAACTAGCCAGAGTTTGTGCTACCTTCTCCACATGAATCCTTAAACAACAAAACAATTAAAACCCGACCTTTCTCTCTCTACAAAACAAAACAAATAACCAAGATTCTTTCCCCATTCCAACTAAATCCCAGCACTGTGCATTCTATTCAGGTTAAGGACATAAGAGATTCTCCTACAACATCACAAGGAAGTCACTCTATGAATTAACCTACTGGGAGACCTGCCATCCCTTTTGAAGGTGGGGGTGGTGAGCCCTTAGCAGTTGAATTTTCAGACAAAGAAATGGAGAGGGCATCTGCCAATCTGACCTGTGGGGGTCAAGAGTGGCAGTGGTAGGTTCTCTAGGTGTGCAAGGGACATTCAGCGCTCATTAGAACAATTCATGTCTTCCTTTTGTTCTCCTGATGTTCTACTTTTCCTCATCTGAGTCTTTAAGGAAGGCAAAATGTTAGCCTGCACATGGAACTAAAATGTGAGTGCAAACTGTGCCTATTATTTCCAAATAAATGAAGTAGGCATGGTCAGAACAACTCCTTCAAAGCAAACCATAAATACCAGGAAGGAATCCTTGCAGAAACTACGACTGAGGTGGGAAGTCTACAAGAGCCTGGAGCATCTACCAGTGGCTGCAGGCAAGAAAGTGCTCAAAGAGAGCCACAGTAAAGCCACAGCCACAGGGACGAAGAAGCCAGCTTCAGAGCTCTCCAGGATCAGAGGCCATTAATCACTTTTCCTATGATGGCATCTACATGGTAGCTAGCAGTACCATGATAGGTTCCAGCTGATGGTTATCAACCTGGCTGGGGTCACACAGACAATCCTGGTTAAAATCAATGTGGGGGAAGAAACTGGCAGGCAGGAGTGGGGTGGGGGAAGAGAAGTGGATGGTGAGAGTAAACTGAAGTCAATGTATACAGGTATGAAGTTGTCAAAGAACAAACATAATCCCTAAAAATAAAACAAACAAAAAAAATGAACGTTATCAAACATCTTACTTCTAAGCGTGTCTTCAGTATTCTCTGTATCCCTACGGACATGAAAATGTCCCAATGTGGCTTCAAGCCTTTAAGAGTTCTTGAAGATTTGCAGTGGTCTCCACATGCCCATCACCACTTCCAGAGACAGCTGGGCATGACAGAGAGGAAATCTGAGAGGTAGGAGTTGACAAAAGCAAATAGTGTTCAATAATATCAGGAAAAGGCATGGTGTTAAAAGAAAGGATCAAATTATTTCTCCTTGCAAGAAAGATAATAATGTAACAATTCCATGTGAGAGACTTTAATGGAACAAGGAGATGGCCACCAAGCACCTGATGTGTGTGATCAGCACAGCTCAAGGCTTCTTAAAATAGTGCTGTACATTTAAAATGACATTTCAAAAACATTTTTAATTAAAAAAAAATTTTGTGTGTATATGTGAGTGCCTACTTGCAAGTACGTGCTCCACAGACATGCCTGGTGTTTGAAAAAGTCAGAATAAGGTTTCAGACCCCCTGGAACCGGAGTCACAGGCAGTTGTGAGTAACCCTGTGGGTGCTGGGGACTGAACCTGGGTTCTCTGCAAGGAAGAACTCTTAACCACTGAGCCACCTCTCTGAGAAGCTCTTAAAATAACACTTTAAAAAATACAAGATAGTTTAAGATTTCTTCCTCTTCCAATAGTATGCTTACACATAAGCACAGATGTTTAAAGCGTCACTCTTTGCACACACACGCTGCATCAGCATCGAGGGGAAAACACACTCATGGTGCACCATAGACACATAGTCTCTGTTACCTGTACCACTGTGAATTACAAAGGGCGAAGATTTATTACCAAAGGAGCCCCAAAGCCTATGGTGTCAGACTAGCAGTTAATTTTCTCTTGGTGTTACTTATGGGCACTCAGGTACATATAAAATAGAGAGAAAAAGCACCATGGATGTTAAGAACAAATACAACCTTACAACAAAGATTCACAGAAAAAAAAAAAAAACAGGAAAAGCCAAAGATTGGAATGGAAAAGCCTAGTTTCCTGTAGGGAATGCAAGTTAAAAATCTGATGGCTCACAGAAATCACCGATAGAACAGGACTCATTACAAAGGAACAAATTTTCTAGATAATACACCTTCATGGAGGTTTCTATGGTGGCTGTAGACTCCAGCAACTACTTAAACCAGACCCACCTCTGGAAATTACATTCTAGGTTTCAGCCAGAAAAAAGTAAATAACAAATATGGAAGACTTCAGAGGTATCAAAATGAATCATCTTTTCCAATGAATGTCATTTTCTTAAATGGTCTTAGTACTTAATGTAAACACTATGCTTACATGTTGCTAAATCACCTTTTCAACCGTAATGAAGTCAAAAGATAACCTAGGTCTCCAAGATTTCAAACAGTTGGCCACATTGGATACTACAAATTTGTCACTGCCTAATTTCTTTACAGATGGCAAGTGAAATTCATTCAGTTAAGACCAAATTTTCTATATTGAATTAATACATTTTCCATATTGAAATAATAGAGTTAAGTAGAATGTACCCATAAATCAAGGCATGCTTGAAATTCACCCAAGAATACACAGCCTTCAACAAGTCTGACATCACTACAATTTTCTTTGGCACAAGACTAGATATTAATGAATTTTGCTTATTGTTTTCTTCCATGGTTTCTTGTTTTGTTGGGTTGAGACACCGAACCTCCTATGTGTACTGACAGCTGGTTGGCAATCAGGGATCCTCTTGCCTCAGCCTCCCAAGTGTTAGGACCACTGGCCTGCTGCCTACTCCTGCAACTTTTCAAAAAGTGACTCAAATGAGAAATCTGTTTCCTGGTCCCAAAACCAACAAAAAACAAGGTAACAGTTCCCAGCTCAAGACAAGACATTTCTGCATTTCTTTGCAGAGTAAACCAAGATATGGAAAGAAAATCTATAACTTAGAAGATACTGGCTCTGAGGACAAAAACTAAAAATCCACTAATGGCTCACAAGACCCCAGAGGGAAGCCAGATAGAGAAAGCTACTCTGCCAGGTCAAAGTACACAACATGGTCCACAGGCAAGTGCCGAGTTCCACTTATACAATCAGGAGTCTGACACCAAAAATAAAGCAGGTGTTATTTTGGTATCACTCAACATACCATAGTGTTTAGGTCCCTAAAGAAGGATATCATATTTCCTCCAAATTACCGAACCTCTGTGCGACACAAAGATTTATTATCCCTTATCACTTAACTATGACTCACATAAATTCTAGTAGAAAACCCAATGAGTTTCACAAAATGTGGATGAGGTGATAGAGAAAAGTTTAGAATCAATTATCCAGACCCAACCCAAAGCTTAAACCACACATTATTAGAAATGCTTTGTCAATAGTGTCCTACTAACAGCTGGCATGCCAAGTCAAATCAAACTTAGCAGCCTCAGCTCAGTGCCTCAGAAATTTGTGAGAACATTGCACTGGAGGAGTGGGTTCAAATGAAAATGAAATGAAAAACCGAAGGTCAAGTTTTGGGTATAGAAACTGTATCTAACTTTATTTACACATTTTGAGAACGGTATCACCACGGCTAAATGTAAACGTGCGTGCATGCACTCACACACACACAAACAAAATAAGACATTCATTTAGTTCATACATAATGTACACACAGAATTAATTGTGAATGACATCACTTTAAGTATAAAGGGCAGAAGTTGTCATAATATTCTAAAGATGTAGCACTGAATAGCATCAATTATTCTTCTGTGATATAAATCTGTACGTTGTTACCAAATAATCAGGTAAGTGCCCTCCCATGCCACTCACAATAAAATTATTACTAAGATGACAACCATATCTAGCTGGTCATGTTGTTAAATAAATGTCCAAATTAGATAAAATTTCAAACATCTGACAGAGCCTGGACCAAACATTCTCAACTCTGCTAATTATCAAAATCTCTCCCCCTGCTTGTGTGGGGGGAAGGAGAGATGCACATACATTCATCGCTTCATCTCAGAAAAACCACTGTCAGCTGAGCAGGTCCACATACTATCTCTTAAGCAGCAATGATGACCTAGCTGGAAACCAGGAGAGAGCAATGTCCTGTCTTTACAAGTGTGACTCAAGATCCTCATTTACAATCTCAGGTAAAAATATTCCTCACTTAGGATTCCTGGCAAATACATGCTAAGGTTACCTCTGAAGCAGAAAAATGCCCCCTACCTCTACTGAGGAGGCTAGACTACAAAATATATACTGCATTTGATCTTTGAAATACACTTCAAATATCTTACTACCATTTTTGAAAAAGTTATAAAATACACAGAAAGCATCACACTGCTGAGTTCCATATTTAACTACTGAGCCACTGCTCCAGTTCTGTATTTAAATAACAACCACCTTTAACTTGAGAGACCTTTCATCGATTCCCATACACATGAATGATACCCTAAATTTTCTCCATAGTATAGTCACTGATGAATATTAGGTTTTTTCCTCTTTCTTTCACTTGGTTCTTTAAAACTGTGTCTTACTCTGCAGACAGCCCAGGTTGACTCCAACAATCTCTATCTTCCTGCCTCAGCCTTGAATGGATAGCAATTATAACTAGGCATGATGGAACATGCCTTTAATCCCAGCACTCAGGAGGGAGAGGCACGAAGATCTGAGTTCAAGGCCAGCCTGGTCTACAGACAGTTTCAGACAGCCAAAGCCACACAGAAAAACCCTGTTTCAAAAATTAAAAAAAGCATAGCAATTATAGAGAGGGCCTTTCACACAGAGCTAATACATATTACTTTTAAATTCCATTCAGAACATACTCTTTTCTATGGCAACTAGTTTCAAGTCTTAAAAATATGCAAGACCTCAGAATCCCTTAAAATTATCTTTATGTCTTAAGGATCAGCAGACTCAAAAGGTGTTGTTTTTTGTGTATGTGCAAGACAGAAAATCTGAAGGAACAGAGTAAGAAGCCTATCCTTTTAAATACTTCTTTGTACTGAAGTCACAAAAAATTGAGGTATTAAAATAAATGAGACACTTTTTATTTGTGATAACAAATGTTATAGAGTTATTCATTAGGCAGTCTCTGGGTTGCCCCTTATATAATTTCTGTCTATATGGGTTTTTATGTCTATTCTCTCTTTACAGTAATGTTCTAAACTCACCTGTAGGGCATTTTCAGAGGCAGCCACAAAATAGGCAGCAGAAACCTAGCACATGACTTAGGTGCTTACATTTCAATCTAGCATATTCTCCCCACAGGTTTTAAAATGAGAAAACAAGAATGACCACTGCCAAAACTAAAGCACCAGATAGCTAAACATACCAAAACATTACTTTGTTTTAAAATTCCTGACTGTGCCACTACTGTCAAGGAGAACACAATGTAAATTTTTATAAGTTCACCTAGAACATCAGAGATGCAGCAAATATTATCACTTTAAAACAACTCCAGTGTCCATCCATTTTGCAACACACAAACACACAAAAATCCAGAGTAAACTATACTTTGCTTCAGGGGCTAACATTGCTTTCATACAGTTCCCATTCCTAAGCTACACACATTCACCTTTTCGAGGAAAACCAAATCAAATTATTTTCTTTAAAACTTCTAAGTTTCAATCCTCCAGTTCACCTTCTGCTACTAAGCCATTATCAGTTAGGTAACTGAAGCTTTCCTGATGGAGGTAGAGAGAAAAACTTACATGGGGGAAAACAGTAAATTGTGGTTGAATTCAAAGCAGTATCATTCAAAATTAACAAGCAATTAACATGAAATTGTGGAATCCCTATGAGGGTAAGTTAGGCGGGGAACTACAAAAAGGTCTCAAAGCCTCAGAGCAAAGTAAATGACACAGTGTACCAAAAGATAATGCAAAACACGGAAACTCTCTGAAGGGGAACCAGAAGACAGTTCTAGAGTAAAGAAGTTATTGAGATGTTAAGGATTGAGCAGTGTTTCTATTTTTGTTAGGAAACTAGGGTCTAGGAAAGCTTGCATTCCCAGGCAACCACCCTGAAAATAAAGCACTGCTTAATGAGGTAGGGGCCAGGAATAAACAATGGGGGAAGGGAGGTCTGGCTCCTTACCTTTAGAGAGGATGCTGGTCCGTTTATTGCTTCTCTGGTGGGTGGCCAGACCCCCTTCTGCTCGCGAGTAGCCTCCAGCCAGCTCAAACCTGGAAAACAGAAACCAATGAGTGGTGCAGTGATCCAGGGTCGAGAAGAGGGCTCTGAGGATGGGGAAGCCAAGGACCAGCTGTAAAGTGGCAAGGGCAGGAAGGCGCGAGCAAGTCTTCTCCTCCCCCCCACCCCTCCCAACACCCAGCCAGCCCCTTCCCCTTGTGGGGAAGAAACTGACTTTACCTGTCTCCTCAAGCTGCAGCTCCTCTCCCTCCTTTCAGCCTCCTCCACATTCACCAACTTCTCCATTGACGAAACACCCCAGGCAGGGCCGGACACCGTGTTCCTGATCCTCCTCAGTGCTTCACGGCCCCAGCCCGGAGAGCATCCAGATAGCCGTTCAGGCTGGGGCTGGCCGGCTTGGCCTCTGAGCAGTCTCCGGGAAGGGGTGCTGGGAGGAAGTGCCGGCTTGGGTTGGGGGCGGGGGGTGGGGGAGGGAAGCAGTCCCGGTCCAGGGGCTCAGACCAGGGGTCTGCCGCGCACCGGGCCGGAGGCTTCCAGCTACCGAGGGACTCAAGAGGTCTGGGCACAGAAAGACCCCAAGTCGTACCAGGTCCGAAGTGTCAGCAGCGGGGTGTCCCGACAGGGGGCTTTCGGGATGCACTTTGCACTGGGCCACCCCCGCCCCCTCCTTCCAGCACTTTGGGGTCACTGGGATGGGACCAAGCCTTCCGCAACCAATCAGCTGCCGCACTGAAGCCTGCGCTCCAAGCCGTAAACCAGATCCGCGGTGAGTAGGGGTGGGGGGGCAGGGGGTGGGGGCGGCTTGGTTGGTTGGTTGCTTCCTTCTCCTCAGCCAGTGGCCCCCACCCCCTGGCTGCCGTAAAGCTGCCTGCGGGTTCGCGACAGTTAAAGGAGGCGGGCTGGTAGAGGCCGGGACTCGTCTCCGATTGGTTGCTCTTACTTAGTCCCTCCGCTTCCCCGCGGTGATTTCCGAGGCTCCACCCCCGGCCTGGAGACTCGAAGCGGTTGCTAAGAGACACTGTACTACGAATGGGGCTTCTACGCATGCTGAGGGAGGGGCCGGCGCTGCCTTCGGTGAAGTACGGTGGCCCGGAGTGGGCAGTAATGGACGCGAGTGGCGGGATGACGGCGGCGTGGCCCGGCCGGCTGGCAGCCAGGTAGCCCCGAGCCCAAGTTGAGCTGGGAGGCGGGGGCAGCGTGTGCGCGCCAGACCGAGCGACGGACGAGGCGGCCGGGCCGAGGGCGGGCGAGGAGGGCCCTGGCTCCCTCCCGCTCTGCAGCGCTTCTTGGAAACGAGTGGCGGGTCCTCGGTGCATCGGTCGGTCTCTGAGACCCGGTTAGCTTCCAGGCTGCCGACGTCTCGCCCAGCCTACGAGAGAGCATGCTTTTTTGGGATCGCGATGCGGGGTCAAGGGCTTTCCTGTGAATGAAAACGAGCGGGGGAAAATGAAAAGTGGGCATGTACTCCCTTAGCCAGTGTTTGCTGGCTTGTCACTACTCTAGTTGTTGGGGAGACTTCGTGAACCATATTTTTGCTTTTATCGTAACAAGATGAAACTGCAAAATGATTAGGGAAACGAAAAAAAAAAAAAGTAATGCAATGTAGTTTGATTAGGACGCAATGGACTCTAAAGATTGTCAGGAGAGGTCTCTCAGAGAATGACGTTTGTGCGACGTGAATGACAAAATGTTGGCCCAACAGAGATCTGAGGAAAGAGTTTTGCAGGAAGAGCTAATCAGCATTGCAGAGCCTTTGGTACTGGAATAAGCTTTATTTATATTTATGTTTAGAGGAACGGAAGGAAAGCCTTGTGACTGAAGCAGAGAAAGGGGGAGAAAGATGGAAATGAGCTGAGAGGGTCGGGGCAGGCTGCAGATTTTGCAGCATCCATAGGTCATGCCTGAAGGATTATAGTTTATGTCTTGCATAATAGAGAAAGCTGTTTTGGGGAACTAGCTTACTGCAGATGATGTAACCTATTGAGATATTTTGTTGCAGGTGGGAGTCAAGTGTTCATTTTGCCTCTGGTTCCTATCTTCTAGGCTGTTGCTCACTTATCCAAAAGTCTTCCACAGGAGTTACCTCTTAGGAAGTTCACTCATTGCCAGTAAAGGTCATAGTGGGGCAGGGGTTGGCGGGGACACCAAAAAACTGAAATATCTGAGTTCAACGATATGTGTTTTTGACAGGGAACATTGGGGCCATACTGTCTGGTCCTCACTTGAATACATACAATGTTTGTAGGGCCTCGCAGATTCCCAGTTAAAAGGTGAGAGTAGATGCACAGACAGCTGAATGTTTTTTCACAGAAAAAAATGGGTTAGTGAAAGCCTGGATGGATACCTTCCAATTGTAGAGTCTTTGGGAACCTCCAGAGAAAGCCTATGAATTAGCTTGTGGGCACAAAAGTGAAGAGACTCCAATAGGCAGATCTTAAAGACCCTGCAAGACTATGTGCTTTTTGGAGTTTGGGACAGTATCCTAAGAAAAATAGATGTTTTAGAATGTGGATGTGTATAGTATAAGCCAAGATACTACTTAGGAAGGAATCTGTTGTCTGTGTCAAGGGTAAAAGTGGTTTACTGTAGCCGTGACAGTGAGAACAGTGAGAAATGGCATAAGGAAGGGGTTCCAAAATGAAAGGCTTTTGGCCTCCATGTATAGCTCCTGTGTACTCCATACACTGAGCTGGAAAGGGGTACAGAGAAAAGTGAGTTTGAAGGGTATGGCATGAGTTGTTTATGAGGATACCTATCTGATCTCCTCTCTGCAGGAGGTATGTGGGTACTTACATACAGAGTTACTGTGCGTGTTCAGTGGAAGCTAAACTCCACCTTGTAAATTTTTCCTGGAGCGATTAGTCCTATAGCCTGTCTCTCAAGATGCTTAGCAGTGGCAGCTCGCCATGGCTCCTAAGCAGTGGCACAATCACCAGGGAAGATAGCCAGTGCTCTGAAGTGTTTCCAGCATTTGTTGGGCTGTTGTGTTTTTATATCTCCTAATGTCTGTAGAAGGCCTGGCTAGGTCTCCTATATACATGCAGATATGGTTTCTCACAGCATTTAATAAAGGGCATGGGAGGTTTGGTATTTTTATATAATGAGTTTGTACTAGACGAAATTTGCCCACCTGTAGGCTAATGTGACTGTTGTAGACATGGTTAGTAAGTTAGCTTTTAATAAGGGGGTTTTCTGCTTATGGTGTGTTTAGTGGGATGTAGCCTCAAGATAAGGCAATGAGGTTGTATATAACCCAAAAAGGAAGTAAGCCCTAACTTGTAGAAGGAAAATTGAAGGCATGAAAGTCTGTGAAATTATTCTGAGAAAAGGTATGGGGAAGGCTGAACTCTGAAAGGTTCTGACAGTGCGAGAACAGTAGAGAAAGAGGATAGAGAGCCTGATGGAGAAAGACTTTCTGGAGATGGAGAAGCCTTGTCAAGAGTCAGTGTCCTTATAGAAAAGGCAGGCTTTTTTTTTCCCCCATGGAAAAACTGCACAGTTGTTACCTGTGTGAACATAGACCTACATTTCTTTTAAAGAATCTGTCCCTTTGGCCAAAAGACCATTTAATTTTTTTGCCTTGGTTTTTTGAGACAGGGTTTCTCTGTGTAGCCTTGGCTGTTCTGGACTCACTTTGTAGACTAGGCTTGAACTCACAGAGATCCGCCTGCCTCTGTCACCCAGAGCTCTGGGATTACAGGCATTCACCACTGAGCCTGGCTCAAGTGATAAAATTTTAAGTGGAAAGAATGTATAAAAATTCTAGGGAAGAGTAGTGGGTTTATTTTAAAATCTGCATCCCAGGCATGGGCATGTGACCAGTATGGGTTAGAGATTAAGTTACTGCTGCCTTTAGTGAGCCCCACAGGTTTCTTTGCCTGTGCCAATATGAAGCTTCTCAGAAAACACAAGTTCTTAGACCATCTCTGCATTTTCTTAAACTTACTTAAGTGGTGTGTGTGTGTGTGTAGGGGGGGGGGGAGTGACCACCACATATGGAGGTGAGAAGACAGCTTGCAAGATGTTTGCCCCTTCCACTCTGTGGGTCCCAGGCATAAGGTCCTGAGCCATCTTGCCAGCCTAGGGGAACATCTTTAATAATAGTTTACTTAGAAAATGTGTAAGTTTAGTTTCCGTAAGAACCAGGTTGTCATATAAGAAAATTTCAACTACTCCTGGCTATTAATTTAGATCAAATATGTGTCGAAGCCAGAGCTATGTAACTACACATTCAAAGGAATGTGTGGGACTCTGCAAGCAGGTTCAGAATTCTAACAACAAGCAATCAATCAATCAGACACCCCGAACAACGACACAAGCTATTTTGAAGGATTCCACATATTTTCCAAAGCTTTTTAATCATCAGTTTTATCCTTGGTGCTGCCTGTCAGTCATCTTTTTGTAATTTCAGATCTTGAAGTTTCTCTTTAAAATGAATGCCTAACTTATAATTAGAAACCAGTTATATCAGGGACTGATGAATGCTGTGTTTTGGTTAACTCTGGATCTTTTACTCTACAGTGATTTACTGTAAAAACAAAGGATTTCCGCAAACAGTTTGGAAAACAAAACATCTTGCTTTTAGTCTAGCTCCTTTGCCTTTCAGTTCATTTAAAGCACCAACACACAAGTTAGTCTAGGCTTAGTCTGAAATTCTGCCTAAAGTGATTTTAATGGAAGTCATTTCCCATAAGGCCCTGCATGAGGTCTCCAGAGCTCTCAAGGTTTGGGGCTTTGTAAGTTTAAAGAAACAATCTAGTCTTTTCTTGCAGTGGTATGCCACTTTTTTATAATGTGAGAGAAACCTGTCAGAGGCCTTTGCTTTGCACCAGGCCTTTCTGACCAACTAGACCAAACCAGAACAGCTGTTTGTACTAAGTATAGGTAATCAAACTTAACCTTGAAATAAACTGCTTGTTTGTTTATAATAATGATAAAATAAAATATAAAATAAAATGATAAAAAAAAGTCATAATAATGATAAAATAAAAACTTCTCAGGGACTGTACAGCAGGGGCTCCATCAGGGCCGGTGTGCTTGAGCCAGCATGAAAGGATGTCCTGTGTCATTCCTGTAAAGAAAATGACTCAGAAGTCAGCATCTTTCTGTTTTCTCCTTTTGTTTTTCTGCCTCTGGGGCACAGCTCCACTATCCAGTCACCTTAGAATGTCTTTTCTGTCTCTTTATATGATTTCTGGAGTTTGGCTCAGGGGTAGAGTACTTGCCTAGCATGTGGGAGACATTGGGCTTAATCCTGAGCCCTAGTTGGGGTGGGAGGGAGAAAAGAAAAAAGAGAACAATCATTAAATGAGACGTTGCCTAATTTATGAGTCATAGATAAAAATAGATAAAAACCTATTAGATCTTCACATATGTTAAAGTGATTTTTTTAACAGTTCAAATGTAATTTACAAGTTAGTTTTTGAACATTTGCTTAGAACCAGGCAGTTTCAAAGTCTATGAAGAAGGAAGGGAACTCGAAAGAGGGGCTTGAGGAATCTGTGTGTGAAGTAGAGAGAACACAGTGGCAGAGCACTCACAGCTCAGGCCAGATGCTACTGCTGAGGCGACTGGAAGGTCTGGCAACGCGTTTGTGAGGGTCACTGTGCTCTCTCTGCATGGCCAACTTGGCCATCTTCCAGTTAAAAACCCACATTTGAGTCGTAGCAACTTTTCAAGAGCTGTAGAGCTATCAGGAGGAACATCAGATAGTCAGAGTTTTACAGGGTGTGCTACTGGAGAGCCCCAACTTGCTTTATTGACTTTGGCTATCAGATTTTCATTCTTAAATTGTTATTCTTTGGCTTGAAAGTAGTTTAGATTACAGAGCTTTGGAGCGGTCAGGGGTCGCTTTTTCTTTGGTTTGCTTTTCTTGTCGTACAGGGATCAAACGAAGGCACACTTATACCTGCAAGGCAGATACTGCGTCACTGAGCTACACCCCAGCCCTAGACTTCAGATCTTATTTATTTTAGAAGCATTTAGAAAATTTGCTCAAATGACAAAAAATTAGATGTTACCAAAATAAAAATTAGCACTCTGTATAACAAAGAGTGAATTTAAATTAGCCAACTCCATGCATATTCCCAGTTAAGCATCTATACAAACAACTATTTACCATTTTGTTTACATGAGGATAAGGGCAGTGTTTACATAA